CCTGGCTGTTTGCCTGACCTAATCTGTTCCTTTTTCTGAGCCTGCCTGATCCCTGTCTGACCTGACTGCCTGCCTGTTCTGCCTGACACTGATCTGTTTTATTTTGCCTGCACTGTTTTCTAACCTGGAACTGTTTCTCAACCTCATCATGGATTTCCCTCTGGTGCTTCATTGGACTTTTGATCACCTGCCTCTGACTCTGGATTTTGCCCTCGACTATGGCTTATAGTTTTTCCCTCCTGTTCCTCCTGCTTACTATTGTCCCATGGTTCTAAACCTCTGCCTGACCACGGATCATCGTAACTTAGCTGGAGTTGTATCTGGGACTTCCTGACCAATGACGGAAGTCCCAGGATGCAACAGGGAAAAAAGCGGGATAGCTGATGAGAACAGAGGATTCAAAGAAGAATGGACTGAATCATTTCATTTTCATTATCAATGTCATGTTTGCTTTGTAATGAGAGGTTGCCAAGGAATAAAAAGAGCAATTTGGAAAGACATTTCCAGGGAAGGCAGGCTAAATATGCGGTCGACCACCAAGTTGGCAATGAGAGAGAAAGTGTGATTGCAGAACTTCTGGATAATTTACAGGAGTGCAAAGATAGATTTAAGAAGTGGATTGCATCTTCAAACTCCACTACTGCTGCTAGTTTTGTTGCAAGCATGGGAAACCGTCCACAGCTCAAACAGGTAGCGCTCTTATGCAGGTATGTGAATTTTCATCCATTTTTCCCCCAAATTCTCAAAATGAAAATAACACCAAGGAAGGCGGCTGACGGAGGATGTAGGATTTCAAGGTTAGAGAGCATTGTTCCAATGGATGTCAGTTCCTGCTTGGTTCCTCATGACTCAATCAACTCCCCCCAACAGAAACACTTCTGCCATAGAAAGCTTCCTTTATTGTGTTTCTATAATTTCATTAATGCAACAAAGCCCAATACATACAAACTGCGCGGTGAAGCGACTCCCCACGGTGAGAGCGTTCACTGCTCCTCCCTCACCTAGTGCTAGTGTGAATGTGATATTTGCTCCAGGATAAATGTTTAATTGTGAATGCTTATTATATTTTGAAGCCCGCATAGTCATTTTTTATAGTGGGCTAATTTACCTAGAGCACATTTTGCCAGGCAAAGCTTATGTAAGACTTTTATATTTTTGCAACTCCTGACAGATTTGTTTTTTGTTTTTTTGGTCCAACATGGCTCTTTGAACAGTTAGGGTTGCTGAACCCTGACATATGAAAACATTACCAAAACATTGCAGAAAAATCATCTGAAATATTTAAAAAGGCTGGTTGCATGTGTGGTTGCATTGCTCTGGTATTATAACTTTACTCCAATTTATATTACAGTTTTAACGACTCTTTGCACTTTATACGACACATGCCACTGTTTTATGATATGATGTGCCTTGTTAGGCTCTTAGGGGCTGGATGAGTAGGGACTGATTTGGCTTTCAAGCCTTGAGTTCCACACATGTGCCATAACGTAACTATCTGGATATTATTGCTCACAAAATGTTTTGGAAAAGAACGCCTGAGCAGTTAGGCCAGAGGTGGGAAAATCATTGCATGGGGTTGTCTTTCAGCATATGGCACAGAAAGACTTACAGCAAAATTCTTCATACAATCTATTTAACGTGTTCACATGGTTGGGGCTTTTCATCATCAAAGCAGATTTTTCTTACAAAGCTTTCAAAAAAACATCCTAATGCATGTTAAATAAAAGAAAAATATTTTCCATTCTGATATATACAACCAGCTGCTTCTTTGAAAGATTATTTTTTTTAAGATTTCACTCGGTGTATTTATAAATATTTACAGATAAACAGACAAACAGACAGACAGACAAACAGGTACAGTAGCTGAAGTAGGATTTTCTTCTTCTACTTTTACTTTATATGTATTTTTCTGTACAGATTTTATTTCAAATGAAACAATTATCATCCTGATATTGCATTTGCAAAAAATTTGCATTATCAATCAATTTCAATGATGCTTTCAGGATATATTCCTACTTGCAGTGCCTCTTTCAGTCTAATTTCCTGAAACCATCACACCTGTAGCAACCCCAAACTCATGTGTTGGAGGAGCTAAGCCAAAGTGGACTGACCCAGGTCACTATTTCCTCCATCCTTTCAGGACCAAGTAAGTGACCCATTGACATTGGGGAGCTCATTAGTTTTTGGGACCTTGACTTTCAGCTTTAGTGTGCAGAGTGGCAAAGGACAATGGCTGCCTCTTTGATCTCCTAGCCTCTCATTCGAAATGGAGCCTTCTCAAAAACAACAAAGGAAAAGCAGAATGCTGCGATCCACCTAGCAGCAGTGCTCAGCACTGACACAATTTCAGAGAGCATGGCATTTTGCTCAGCAGGATGATTAGATTGCTAATTGTTGGTGAATCATGTTATCTTGATTTGGATGAGTTCAGACACTCTAGGATTAGAAGGGATGGAGGAGTAAGGCAGCAGCAAATGGCTGAACCTCTAAACTGACTTTATGCAAACACTGACTACTGTAGGATTTGTCTAAAATATGCATTAAAGCAACAAAAGCCATGTAAAACACTCACATTAATATTGTATTTAATTCATCTTCACCCAGTGCCAAAGCATTTTATCACTTTATTTGTTTTACCTTTCACATAATTACAAGACGTAGCAATGCTTTAGCTTGTTTCATTCTTATTAGGAGTGCAGCTATCCAGTGCAGCTAACGAGTAAGAATTATTATTTATTTAAGCACTGCTTCTAGTGTAAAAAACATAACTTTTCTTCTTTTAACATGTTGGTTGTACATGCTTGACCTTTGACATCGACCAAAATACCTTTAAGGTATCATTCAAACATTGCTTTAATTTGGTTAAAGACACCTATTTAAAGAGTGGGACAGATCTAAGTATGTAAACAATTACAGTGCATGTTTCATATTGCATCTATTTCTGCTTAAATAGAGGCTGGGTAAAATATTGGAAATTTCCTTAATCCATTGCAATTTACTTATGTCCATGCTTGCAGTCAATTTTAAATGCACATTTTTCTGTTTCCAAATTCCAAAGCAGCCCAATTTCAAAATATGTTTCTAGCTCACCAACCCACAGAGAACAAGCAGTCTTTTTGATATTATTATTTTTTTAAATCTTCAACACTAAGTAATAAAAAGAATCCTCAGCTTTTAATTCTCTATTATGTATTATTCTCTATTTGTATTACATTATTTTCATAGATCACTTGGATTTCTGCAGCTGTGGTTATTCTTTACTCATTTTTCTCTGTGCTCTTAGTTTTTGGAAACCATAATTTCCAAAGAAAATGTCACAATAATCCAACATGCTAACATCCTTGTGAACTGGGAGGCTCCAATGGAATCTGAGATGCTTTTAGAGTCATGGCTTTGTGACCATTGGAATGGATGGGAATAGTTTAGTGAGGTGATACAGCCCTTCTCCAACAAGGGTTGCTTCAATATCAGGCTATCTAGTTATTTTCAAGTTAATTTTTTTCTGTTCTTGGTGTTGTTATTTTTATAACAAAAGATCTAACTGGTTTTTTTAATCATTATTCATATGTGTATTTCTATTGCCTTTAAATTCATAAGATTGAAGTCGAACTGCAATTTTAACAAAATGCAATAAAATGTGGATTTTTTTATGCTTCAGACAATATATATTGAGATCATTAGTTTTTCCCATTACTTTCCTTTTTGTGTCCAGTAAGTTTTATAACATGCTTCCGACTAGGAGAACTAAGGGCATTGTAGCAGGTGTTTACTTTGCATCAAAGCAGTTGGTGGTCAAAGTTGCATGGAAAGCTGCTGGCCACTGGCTAAAAGGCTAAGACTGCTGCATAGCGGCTGCTTTGCCTGCAAAACTAATCGATTGTTGATCTTCTTTATTATTCGACTAGAGAAACGTTATTATTGACAGTGGGAAAAACCTGAAAATGTACATCTTCACAACCGGTGTCAGGAAGTCATACAAAAATCAGAAAGGATCTAACCAACATGGTTAAACAATATTCTAGCTATAACTATTATTTAGATCAGGGGTGCTACCATGTCGCTTCTAAGTAACATATTGCTATGATTAAAAGTTGTGTTTTTTTTGAATGATGTATTTTCTAAAATTATTCCTTCTATCAATTTAATTCCAATTAATTGACCTAATTTTAATTTTATATTTAGCCAAATTACTCACAGAAATAATATTGAGACACACCTAAAAGAAAAAAAGCCAACCTTCGTTTTTACTACCTAACAATAGAAGAAATTAAATTTTTACCAATACGTTTCAATATAGACAGGTTAGATTTACTCACACAATATAATCTTATGCTTAATGTGATACAGTACTATCTAATACATAATATCAATAGTTGAAAGACTGCCCAGGCACTTGCATAGTCATTAACTGCAAAGACGTTAAGGCTTTTCAGTTGTTCCTTCTATTAGACTTTGTTGTTTTAAATATAATTTAGTCAGTTTTATGTTTTTACTGTAAACAATATGCTGTTTTTGTACCTAGTTTTTTTTCACTAAAAAGCAATGTGTGCAGCCATTGTGTTAATATAGCATCATTTTACCATTCTTTACTGCCTAAAATGAAATTACAAGGGAAAACATTCTTAGCGTAAGACTGTTCATCTATGAGAAAAATCTTTATTTGTTTTTATTGAACCACCATTTTATTATTATTTTTTTTCTTTGGACTGCATGCTCCACTCTTGTATTCAAAGCTGTAGCTGTCTTGGAAAGATTAAGCAGTAGGTAAAACCAGGTCAGGTTTTTTTTTGTGCAGCCTACTGCTTACTCCAAATCCCTTGAATGTAGAAAACTATGTCCAAATCAATTCCGCTAGATTCCTAAACAGTAAGTCAGTGCAAAATGTCTTGGGAGCATCTTTAAGGTTAGCTGAGTCCAGACAAAGTTAATTTCCTTTTCAATGAATAAATCCATGGTAGGAGGACAGATTCAAAGGCTTATCTTTACCTTATCTGACTTACCTTCATAAATATGGACACTATAACCAGTCCGTTGGGGCTTTTAGCTGCTTCTGTGTAATTTGTATACAGCTCATGATTGTAGTGAATCAGTTGAACCTGAAAAATACAGAGGACATAGACAGGGTTACTGAAGGAAAAGTCACAGGTCTTAAAGTTTTAGGTAGCTGTTCACAGAAAATCTAACTCTTGGAACCTCACATCTGACAATCCCCTCATATCAAAATTCCCCGGCACACTTCTTAAGATGATAATCAAAGAAAAAATCCGCTTGGAATCAAATCCTCCTGGGATTTCTCTGATTGTAAACGGAAGAAGCTGATGTTCAGAACATTGTGATCCTAATTTCGAACATGAACAGCAGAAATAAGAGGGATACAAATAGCTGCTAACACCTGATCCAGGGCCAGCCCACTAATCAGTGTTGAGAGTGGCTGAATGATCTTCTAGGACGCTGTTAATGTAACAGATGCTCCATCGTTTCCAGCTGTTCAATATTCCAGTTTTTTAACGATGTGGATGTGGTAGGCACGGCTTTTCAATTGCACCTCGTAAAAGTGTAAAGCTCTAAGAAAGAAATATGTGTGTTAAAAGTCTGTCCTAACAAAGAAGGTATTAATGAGCAGCTCTGAGCCAGTAAAAATGAATCAATCTGGAATATGCACGAATGATCATTAATGCGTGTTTCAAACAGCACCTTAATGTGCCTATCAAACTTTTATTTGTAAAATGAGATTACAGTGATATAAATGTTATAAATATCTCTCCTTTTATCAAACAGAATCTTGCAGCTACTTAATGGATCTGAGTTAGTTCTGATTTTGATTTGTTTGCATTTCTGGGGTTTAAAGTCAAAGGAATCTAACTATCACCAGATAACATCTGATGGCAAATGTAGTTAAATCCAAATTCCAAATCCATTGATGATATGATAACCATGTAGCCTACTAACTCAACAAGAAAGACACTGTCTTTGTCTAAGAAAAAAGCTTATTGACTTATTACTATCTGTTCTCTTGCACTTGCACCAACACTGCCCCTACCTGTTAACATTAAGTATAAGTATCTTAGAGTGAACAAATCATCCACTTGATTTGTGTAACATCCATATGCCAATCTTTGACATCTAAACAGCAGCAAACAATGCTGGAACAATTAAATTTTATACTCGGCTTCTCAACGAAGAGAATGGTAATAAAATACTGTAAAAGGACAAAACAGAAAACCTCTAAGTAGGGATGTATAAATATGAAAATCTGGGCTTATATCGATATAAATTTTGTCATTATGGCTAAACAATATTTATTGATATACATTTACCTACCTTTTGGAGACCATTTAAAAACAACCATTTGGTTGATAGTGCATCTTTGCTTTGGTTAAACATCCACAGTCCTGAGCTAAATCACAATCACTTTCACATGACCAAATAAGTACAACATAACTGGTCCCTCCCTCCCTCTTCTGAAACAACTGCATGGAAATAAACAACAATGGGCCAATACCAAAATGCTTAAAATGACCTCTATAAGGCAACATATTAATGTCAATCTCATGCATCCCTATCTCTAAGTTATATTATGTATTTTATGTGTTTATTTTTTGTGATCTCCATAACTTACAATTACCCCAGAAATGCAATTATTGGTAAAAATTTAGATGAAATAACTATTAAACAGATGAAGAAATGGGAATGTTTCGAAAAAGCATAAAGAGCCACAACAGATTAATGCCTTTTGCAAACATTCCTGTTACTACATCAAAAGCAATACCAACAGTTTTTTTATTAAACAGATGCCAATAATAATATAAAAACAAAAAATTCCATGACCAATTTTATCAGTTTTACTGTGCACCAATAGCATAGAGTGGTACAAGTAGTGAATGCAAAAAAAAAAAAAAAAAAACACACACACAAAGTCCCCGTTTGCCAAGCATATCAGGAATATCCGCAATTTTATTTCTAAACTTCTGAATGTTCTAGTGAGCATAAAAAAGAATTATAATTCAGGAGGTAAAATCATGTACCGTACTGGGGATACCAGTAGCTTAGCACTGCTTTGCAAAATAAATACAGTACCGCAACCTGCTCCATGAAATCCCTGTACACCATGTGGAGGTAGGACCTGTCAACCCAGTCTCATGGGAAAATGTACCCCCACTACGTTGGTCCACACTGCAAAACGTAGTGGAGGTACATTAATGGCCATTTTTTTGTGGTACTGTTACGTTTCTTCTGCCTATACGCTTTCTATTGTTTTACGTCCTAGTCACGTGACTTTCAAGATTCCAGCTGGGAGAAGAAAAAAAACATATACCGTATTTTCACGACTATAAGGCGCACTTAAACGTCTTTTTTTTCCCTCAAAATGTGCGGTGCGCCCTTTGGTGCAGTGCGCCCTATGTGTGTTGTAACTGCGACTTTTGAGATCACCTCATTGAGGAGATGATGAAAGAGTGGCTGAGGGAGGTGAATGTAAGGAGACCAGGTGTTTTTTTTTCCACTCATCACCATCGCTGTTAATATGTAACTCCATGCGTGCCCATCTCACAGCTGATGTGAAAAACATGGGGAAACAAATTAACGCTGTGCTCGCTGTTCAACCGCTCGACATCGGTGTGAACCGGACCCAGCAGGTGCAGCAGAAGCAGCGAGTTTACATGCAAAGTCAATGGTTGACGCGCGTATAGGCGCAGCAAAAGGTCCCGCAGCGCGTTTTGAGCAGCAGGCGCAGCGCGTTGGGAGCGTTTAAGCATCTGACGCACTGCCAACGCGCTGCTGCTGCTCGAGATGGAAAAAATGAAGTTTTGCTGCTGGACGCGCCGCATCAACCAATCAGAGAAGCTGATCTGGGAGCTGACAGCAAGACAGACACAGCGCTCTGATGACATATGATATTAACGCAAATGAAAAAGGCTGGATGGATGAGGAGATGATGAAAGCGTGGCTGAGGCAGGTGTATGTAAGGAGACCAGGTGGTTTTTTTCCACGCATCACCATCGCTGCGTGTCCATCTCACAGCCGATGTGGAAAAAAAAGGTGAATCAAATGAACGCTGTGCTCACCGTTATCCCGGGGGGTCTGACAAAGGAACTTCAACCGCTCGAGATTGGTGTGAAGCGGCCGTTCAAAGTAAGGCTGCGAGCGGCGTGGGAGCGATGGATGACCGACGGAGACCACAGTTTCAGGATAAGTGGAAGGCAGCGCCGGGCAAGTTACGCCACCGTTTGCGGATGGATTGTAGATGCTTGGACTAACGTGTCTGCTGGCACTGTTGTTCAAGCTTTCGCAAAAGCCGGCATTATTTCTAAGGACGCCGCGCTGCACGGAAAGTGACTGACAGCGAAGAAGGGGAAATTGGCATGTCTCATTTAGCGCAGCTGTTTAATTCAGAAACAGAGGATGATGACTTTGATGGGTTTGATTAATACTTTGTAATAAATATATGAATAAAGCACAATCATCTGTTTTGCTCCCGCTCTATTTTTCTACTGAAAACTTAATTCAACAGCAGCCTCTGGGCCGGGTCTCCTCCTCTTCACCGCGGTGGCTGGCAGGTGTTTTTTCATCTAAGTAATCTAAATCTTGCAGCTATATTTGCTGTGATCAGTGGGAATAAAGTAGTTTTAATATGTTTTTAAGTGAGAAAGGCCACCTGAAAACTTCATAATTGCAGTCAGTTCATCCAGATTATTATCCTGCATATACTATTTCTGTCGGAGGCGCTCAGACCCCCACATACCAGCGGTGCGCCGACAGTAGAAATCCCTTCAACAGCAGCCTCACCGCGGCGGCTGGCAGGTGTTTTTAATCTAAATAATTTAAACTGCAGGCACCAGGATACCGGTAATAAAAGCGAACATATTCCGTCGGCAGGTTTCAGGATTTTAAGTTAATTTAGGAGTGACCACAGCGCTGTGTCATCTGTGATGTGTCTGTCTCACGGCCAGCTCCCAGGTTTGATTAATACTTTGTAATAAATACATGAATAAAGCACAGTCATACTCAGTTTTGCCCCCGCTATATTTTTAAATACGCAGTAGAGGTATTTAAAGGTAGTAGAGGACATGTACCTGTATATAAAAAACGCACCCTATAGTCCGGTGTGCCTTATGTGTGTGTTAAATACAGAAATGGGACACATAACTGAGAGTGCGCCTTTTAGTACGGTGCGCCTTATGGTCGTGAAAATACGGTAATAGATCCACAAACCAGTGACATTTTTGGCAGATGGGTCAAAAGAATAATCAGGATTTGTGCAGGAGTTAAGGGACACTTACTTAGAGGTTCAGAATTGTATGGAATTAGCAAACGCAATGTTTTCTTATGAAATTAACTGCTAAGGCTGTCATGATTTTTCTCTGTTTTCTCTGCAACACCCCGTTTGTTCCTGCACCTCTCTGTACAACTCTCAGCTGGAATATTGTTACCACCTGCATGTCCCTTGTCTGCATCCTAATCACAACTGCTTCACATAGTCTCTAGGGTTGCCAGATTATCGAAAGTCATGTTTAAGTAAATGTCCAGCCATGTTTTCTTGCCTGCCTGCTTGATTGCGATCATATTTCCTCCTCCCTTTTTTCCCTGGTCTGGCTTGCACCTGTCAGATATTCTCCTTGTTCTGATCTCTAGACATTGACAATGCTTCTGCCTTCTGCTTGCTATCTTCTGCCTTACCCTGGTATTTTTCAGCCTGTATCTGTCATGATCTGCTCTAATAGCTGGCCTTAATTGCTAATATCATTCGGCTGCCATCTAATTACTCCTCATCTCATCCACCCGCGGTCGGTCCAGCCCAGCTATCGAGTTCATATAATTATTTGTTTTCTGTTTGTTTTCTGTTTCGTCTGTTAGTTAGTTCCTGCCAGCCAGTGGAAAGAGAAGCTTTTGTCTCGTCTCCTGATCGTGTCCTGTTCCTTCCCTGCAGAGTCTTCAGGGTTTTGGCTTGGAACTCGGGGAGGATCAGTTTTCCCTGTACGCCCTGGCTCCAAAGAGGAGACCAGTGTAAAGTCCTGTTCATTCTGGTTCAACGTCTTGTCTCTGTTTTCCTCTCAACCACCGAGTCTGCCCGTCTGCATCTGAGGCTGCCTGTTTGCAC